CACATACACCTAATGAACACCTACAAGTCTATTCCAAATTCTTCTGGTAGCCTACAAAGTCTTTGCATACTCTGTAGCAGAACAGCTGTACACGTATTCTCCCTAGAAAGCCCTGAGGACACTCTATGCAGCAGAGATGCTGAGGGAAAAGAGCTGCCTGAACACCAAGTGGAGCTCAACCCATCCTCATCTCCACACCGTGTTCCAGGCCTGGTGCTGTTTAACGCAGTCACACCACAGACACAGCCATCAACTTATTCCCGAAACCTTAAATCTGCATCATGAAAAGGTCCAAATCCTGTCCAAAATCTGATCCTGTAGTTGAACTAAAAAAAAAAAAAAAGACTACAGGGGGGGCAGGGAGAGGGGTGCAACAATGAATGAATGGAATTCCAAAATCTCTGTAGATGTTCACTGAAATGAAAAATAAATAAAAAAATAAAAAAAAAGACTAGAGGTAACAATTTTTTGGAGTTCCTGGTTCAAGTACATGAACCCTTTCCTCCATACCCTAAAAGGAATCTATTATTGGGAGGTCAGAAAAGGAAAAAGCAAAATTATTTCATTAAAGTCTAGCAATATTTAGGTAGTATTTGGATCACCACTGCAAATTATTAGTACTACCAGTGAGAGAGAGTTGTGTCTGCCATTTGTCTATTAAATACAGTATCCCACATTTGACAAAATGGTGCATTATTCCATGCAACAGTGTTCAACACGGTATCTGAAAGGGTAACACTAACACCTAGCTCTGTAAACTGTGCCCATGTTTCTTCTGTCTGTGACCCACTGTTGAACACTCTGTGATGCTCAAAACTCTACTAACAAGTGTCATTCTCTCGCCTCTATTCCCTCTTAACTGATTTCATGATTATTTAATGATCCTTCTCCCCCTTTATAGAGGTCATGTGATGCTCCCTTGGCTGCCCCACATCCCCCCTGCCCTAGACTTCGATCCACTATGGGACCTCCCCACTGACTCTCTACCTTCTATGCAAAGAGGCTAAGCTTCCAGAACCTAACACCTTTTCAATCCACAGAAATGTCAAAAAGCAATTCCAAAAAAACAGCTATTCTATTAACATCTACGAAGTTCTGAGAAGAGTGACCCAAGCCCTATGCCTGGTATAAAGGTCCTCACTCATACTCTTCCTCTATCACACACAACCCGCGTAGAGGTCAAGGATTCCTGGAGTCAGGCTAATGAAACTTAATGTGAACTCTACTATCATCAACTTTGCGCAATTCGGTTACGCCTCACAGGGTGGTATCTGGGACATAAAGCCTGGGGAAACGTGTGTACCTCTGCATATATAAGATCTCTGAAAAGTTCCCAACATCAATTAATGTTTCAACACGTGTTAAGTTTATTACTCCAGCAGGGCTCCTACATGTCTGTCTGCAACGATGGATACCAAGCCACCCTGACTCTCACACTGTGCAAATGGTGTGAGCTGCCTTTGTCTCTTCCAGTTCTCCTCAAATTTATTTCTGCCTTCATTATTTCCTCTTATTCCTAAACCCTGAATTCTCCTTTCTGGAAAGCTCTATGTCCCCTGGATGGAAGGCACAAAGAGTTAACCCTTTCTACTATTATTCAGAAGTCTGGCAGTTCTCACGGGAGATCTGGAGATCTGCTTCTGAAAAATCAACCATGAGAAACCCTACAGAATACTGTTTTACTGACACACGTGGCATCATGAATTGACTAAAGTGACATTTAAAAACACATGGATATCAAAACTACCGTAAACAGGAGTTTTGACATGTGATTGGCTTAACTCTGCTTTCATCAAATGCCTGAAGGAAGGCAGACTAACAGACACGGGCCAAACTGTGGCTCTTAAATAGAGTTGCTATGTTCATCAATATAGTGGTACAATTCCTTCCTTCCTGTTTACCTCCAAGTTTATTTAAACACACAGGGCAAAAACCCAACCATTTTTGTGGAATTTGCAACTCCATAAAGGTGTTTAAAAAGTAACCGTCATTTTTTTTTTAAAGTAACCATCATTTATGCACACATTTATATTGAACCATCCGATCAGATGGTTTCTGAGTTTATTTTGCTGAGGTGAAAAGGCAAATTCAAAGGTGTCAGTCACAGGTGCCTGCATCCTTGGCCTTACAGGACATACCTAGAATATCTGAAAACACCTGAAAGCAGACAGCTAGCCCAGATAAAAGTTTGAATAACAAATGATTCCTATGAAAAGTATGTGGCTTTAAAATTAGGTAACTATTACAAAGGAAAATGAGTTTAAACAAAAATCTAAAGCTGGCACAGAAGGAGGAAACAGGGAGAAAGCAGATTAAAATAGTAGTAAACATAGCAAAATACCACTAACAGATTCAAGGAGGACATGGAAACCAAAAGAATGAAGATTTAAATAAATACGGTATCAAAGTGCCTAAAGTATTAAAATTCAAAATTCCAGAAGTTGAATGTATCAACAGTTCTCTAATGCTAAATACACCAAGTGATGCAGAAGGACTGTGCCGTCACTACTGCTCAGAAATCAGGAAGCAGCAGATAGCTACCTACACTCAACCACATCATACAGCTTCCTAAACACCTAGTCCTGTCAGAGCCAGAAATTAGGCTTTCTGACGACTCAGCCCCAGAGCCCCCAAGAAGGGCCCAGCAGAGGCTGCCCCTCTCAGTCCTGATTGGCCTCTCTGCTATAGCCCTTAGAGTCAAAAGTCCTAGCCAACACTCTTTTTAAGTATCTCTCTCCCCTAAGCTCTCAAAAAGAAAGTTAAACAGAACTACAAAGGGCAATCAGTGAGTCCTGTCTTTGACCCAAGCCTCCCTGGAGAAAGGCTTTGATGGTAGAGGAACAACTACATTGTTCCCTCTAGCAGTCATACCCAGGGATGATCTCAGTCCACTACCTCATAAACTGCAAGATAGGATAAAGGTGTTGACAGATAAACTCACTTTCCCTTAGATTTATGGGTCATCATGTGACACCCAAGAGGCCAGAGGCAGAAGTTAAGCCTGTACTGGTGAGTAAACCCATAAAGATGGGATAGTTTGCATGAAGTTTGGAACACTACTTGCAAAGTCTGGCACTATTAAAAAACCAAGACTAGCAAAATGTACAAATTTAGTAGTAAAGCACTAAAACACATGTCACAAATGAAGAAAAGATATATTAAGCATCCGTTTGAAAAACATTCTAAGACCTCCCTTCAACCCCATATCCTGACACACCTGAGCGGCCAACTCTGCCGGCTCCTGTCACCCAGGAGAGATCTCTGAGGCTCCCACAGGCTTGAAGCTGGAAAGGATTACAGGAAATCCTTCTATCCTAGGAAACTCTTGGGACTATCTGGTAAAGTAGTCTCAAAATCTGGAGCCTAACTGTTCTTCATAATAAGCATGGAATTTTAAAACTATGGTACTGAGAATACAATTTTCAATAATATTCCCACAGTATTCAACAAGGGCCATGACTACCACCTCAGTTTGTGCACTGGGGAGAAGAAGAAGAAACCTGAGAGTGTTTCTCCCTCAGAGGAAAGCACCAAGTACACAGCACTTCTGGGTCAGGAAGCAACTAAATCAGCAGGGACCAGGACCTGCCCCACATGCACACAGGCGTACTCTTCTACCTTGCTGTGCTCAGAAACACACTACAGGGACTCTGAGTCGTCTCCGAGCATCCTTAGCCAGTGGGAACACAACACTAAGAACAGTGGGGACCAAGAAAGCACACACATGGGATTTTTAGCTGAGTTTGTTCACTGTCTGATCCCAGGTGATACAGTATTCAAAGAGGATTCCAATCAGAATAAACAATATGTGCATAATAAACCTGCAAAGCTACACACTCTTAAATCCCCAAGTGCTACAACAAAACACCCTTGCTTAGTTAGCTAAGTCCTACCAGAGACAAAGACTGTTTGCTCACAGTATTATACTTGCAACAAATAATATTTACAAAATGTTCATTTTCTTTGGGTTTTTAAATAATTCTTTCAAATTTTAAGTACAAGTTTTTTAGGGAAAGATGCTGAAATTTACGCCATTAGCCCTAATTATTGAAAATAATTTCTCAAAGAGCTGGGGTGGGATGAGGACGAGACTGCAGCCGTGGAGGGAAAGAGAGTGGCACTGGTACACCACAGGCAACACTGACAGTCAACCACAATTAAAATCTATGGGAAATTAATAGATTAAATGCTTCCCCCCCTCACTCCAAAAAGTCTCTATAATCCCATGATCCCATGTGAAAGTGAGCTGTCTTTGTTAATGAGATAGGATTAGTGTAGAGTGTGTCTTGTTTTCCAGTTTAAAAGACATTACAGAAGTGAGAGAAGCAAAGAGGGGAAGAGCCACATGAAGACTGCCCAAAAGCAAAAGCTCGGAAACAACCACCTTCCTCCAGAGCAGACAGAGCCTCCCCTACAGTCCAACTGTGTGAAGTTCACTGTTTGCTTGTAAACGCCACCAATGTGCAGCACTGCTACAGCAGCACTGGGTAACTAAGGTGAAAAAGCTAGGGCTCTGTGGTACTATCAATCCAGATTTTATAAATGGTTCATTTCTCAAAAACTTGCAAACTTCTCACACTACTGTAAGCTCCACTCCATAACTCTGAAAACAGGCTGTGCTCTAAACCCAGAAAATGCAAAGCAGAACTTTATGAAGGTTAGGCTAGTCTTGTGCTACAATCCATCTCAGCAGGGCAACTCCTGCACTTTTTTGGACACATGTTTAGGAGCTATTCATCCTGAAACCAGAACAGGTAATTAATATACCATGAAGACCTGACAAAATCTCTGAAACAAAATCAGATTGTGGATCTGTTCATTAAATCTACAAACAGAACCTGTAGAACCATCGGCTATTGGTCATTTATTTATAAAATTGGTTTTCTTCTGAGTTCAGTGATGAAGGGCACACGACAGGACTTTAAGAATATAGCAGCACATAGCAAAGGCTAAACCCCATCAGAAAAGAGCAGAACACCATTATCTCAGCAGACACTGACCTGGTCCTCCTCTTCATCCTCATCCTCCGCCAGACGCTGCCTGCCCACTTCATACAGTCTACACACCGTATCCATGTTCCCCAGGGCATCCATGCTGCCTTGGTTCTGAAATAGAACATTCAGGGCTCAGGGGCAGTGACCTTCCAGAAGGCTCATATCCACACCTCAGACTTGACTATGACCCATAAACCATGACCCTGCAACCCCAAAATCTTGGTTTGACAAAGAGGAACTAACTGTGAGTCCATCTCCAGGACACTGAAGTGGAAAGAAAAAGAGTATGAGAAGGCTCAGGCAGTAGAGAAAGCAGCACAAGAGAAACCACCATTCCTGGAATATATGTATCATGTTATGGTGAGAGGTAAACTCCTTGGAGACAGGGGTGGCAGTGAGTCAATTTCTCTTGTATATTTCTCAACTCCATCAAATGAAAAGGGTACTATCCCACTAATCTACCATCAGGAATATGTCAATTTTAAAGCACATCTTTTACCAGATAAAATGCCTGTAAGTAAATTATTCTAAACATCAGAACCAAAGATTAGGGTCTCCACATGCACCCGTTACCTCAATGACAGCAAGATAGCAGTCTTTGGTGTCTGTGCATAAGTCAAAGATGTTTCGTTTCACATCAATGGTGGCTGGAAAACAGAATGTGACAAGACTTGGAACTGGACTATTGCTGTGTTCTTAAATTAAAACCTCTTGCCCTCGAAAGGAATTCAAGATGATTCTTTAAAACTATTTGCATAGCTCTAGTTCTCAACAAACACTGAAGTCTTCTGGAAAATGGAGGAACATCAAGCATGATAAAAAGATGGATGGTCTTTCTGCTTACCTATAGGTTTATAGTCAGTTGCATTAAAAGTTCGGAAGGATGACCCAAAAGGGCTTTTCATCCTCTCTTCCATTAAATCATCTTCATCATCTGCCTGCAACATAGCTAGGTAGGAGAGAGTGAGAAACAAGAAGACAAGCATGAATTATTAATCACACGTATCCCCTACCCACAAGTGCGGAAAATTCAAATGGCCAAGCAAGACTTTGGTGAGGTCCTTTGTAATAAATTTACATCTAGTTAGCTACCCAAACCCTCCTCCTTGGATACCCTAAGATCATGGCAAAAAGTATCCTCCACTTCTCTCCCAGCTTCCAAATCATACAGGTTAAGTTTTAAATACTTTTCTCTTTCATCACAATCATTTTCTCTTTCTTTCCAGTTCTCTAATGGGAGGTATTTCCAAAAAAAAATCAATTTACAGAGGAAATATCACATGACAGAGGAAGAGAATATTGGAGAGTTTACCTCCGTACATCACCGTCCCCGTGTGGTTGAACACTACTCGGCATTGATCCAGAGCAGGGACCGTGTGTAAAAGATGGAAAGTACGAAGGTCCCACTAGTAGGGCTGGTCAAGGAAACAACATTTTACACAAAATTTCTTACCTAACTTCATGGGGAAGATTCTGAAACATTTTACTTTCCCCACTGATTATTAGTACTTTTTTTGCTGATTAATATGAGCCTTCCATTGAAAGGAAAATTAATGGGATCAAGTAAAAAATAAAAGCATGTAGAATATGTATTACTGAATAATATCCTACTCTATCTTCTGACATATGAGCACCTATCCTCTAAATAGCAGCCCCCTTCATTTTATTCTTATTTCTAGTAATTAATTTCTGTGAAACAAAGGTAAAAGACTACTGAAAGAAAATTCAATTCACTACTTGGGGAAAATGAGGGAGGGGCAGAAATCACTCTTCTCAATGCAGAGAAAATGTGTATTTAATATCACATCAAGCTACCACAATAGTTACAGACTAAAGTCTACAAAAGCCAACTGAAGATTCATTCACAAAATCGGTTTCTCTTTTCAGAAGGCTCATTATGGTTAGAAACCTGTGTGGATACTTTAACCAAACAATGGAAAAAAGAAAAAAATATTTTTTAAAAAAATGTTTACATAAACTAGATAGCCACTAGAAAGACAAGACTTGTATTTAAAGGATACAATCTCAGTATTAATGATGACTTCCAGACCATTTGGATGGAAAACACCACTGATGTTCATGTTGAACTTGTCAAACTTGTGGATGGCCTGTGCAGAGCGGACATCCCAGAGGACGCCATCATTTAAGACAAGATCATCTGTAGGATTAAAGGTGGCACAGTTCCTCTTGTAGTTGTTGGCAAGATCTGGGTTAAACAGAGTCAACAGCTTGTTGCCAGTCTGAATATCATAAATCTTTAGAGAAGAAGGGGTAGGGAGAGAAAAATCAGACCAATGCATCGGGTGACACAGTCAAAGAGAAGCTGTGTAAATCTCTCTCCCATGCTTTTCCAATTCCTCCCAAAATTACCACAAAGTCCTAATATTCTATAAAAAAACTGGAAAAACAGGAAGGCCATGCTCACCCAAGCACAGTTTTAATGTTTAGTTTCCCGTTCATAATTTGAAAACTCCCTTTCCCACAAGGAGAAAAAAAAAAGTGAAATGGTGATAAGAACAAGCAAATTCTCTCTTCCCCTTCCCCTTTACAAGAAATAGGAAATGTTGCCAAGATTAAAACAGAAATACTCTTCAAATGGTTTAATCTGTGATTTCCCACAGATTACTCCATCAGGGTTACTTTTAGTGGGGACAGGAGGAATCCATTCAATACTACTCTTTCTCTTTAAAAAAAATCTCCTAATAGCCATATTTCAGCCACCCATGACTGAACACTTCTGAAGTCTACAACGTGTATCCCATGCAGAGACCAGATCTTTCCCATCAGCTTACAGACATGCTGTAATATTTCCAATTTTTTTAATTCCTCCTTTGATAAGGAACATGTAAGGAACAACCACAAGGAAGCAACCAAACACATCCAGATCATGGGAAAAGACAAGTAGCCTGGTCTCTTCAAAAGTCAATGTCATGAAAACTGAAGAAATGATTCTTGGCTTTAAAAGCTTAGTGAGACATAACAACCAAATGCAATATGAATCTTGGCTTGATCCTGGTTCAAAAAAAAACACAAAAACAACAAACATACATTTGAAACCAAACAATCAGGAATAACTGGGAAAACTGAATATGGACTGGATAATTGATGATATTAGGGAATTACTATAAATTTTCTTAAATTTTATAGTAGAGGAATTATATAATAAAGTATCTATTATGAGTAGATACATGTTGTAAGGCCTAAAAGATCATGATGGTTGCAACTTACTTACAAATGATTCAGCAAATAGACATTTACAAAGAAAATATGGCACAGTATTTTAACTGATAAAATTGACATAACGGGTATGTAACTATTCCTTCAACATTCCTGTATGGTTTAACCAAGTGATAAGCTGGAGGAAGGTAAGCTTCTCTCTCATCGCACCTTATCCCTTCTCTTTTAGCCATGACTCTACTTCTCTGCTTCTCAACTCTTCAAAAGTTATCTATACTCATTGTTTCCATTTCTCTCCTCCTATTCTTTCATAAACACTATAATCAGATCCATATAACTAGCTACCCACAGTTGATGTGAAGGTTGTTAAATCAGTTCTCATGCAATTTCTGACCAATTTTCCTCAAAATTGATTTCTCCTCGTGGCAATTCCTGTATTACTGGCCATTCTCTTTGTTTTGCTTTCCAAGTCCCTCCACAATTAGCAACGTTAGTAAAAATCAGGATTCCATCCTCACACCTCTCTCTTCTCTGGTAACCTCACCCAAGTTCACCTAGATCAACATGTAGGAAACTCTCTTATCCTTATCTCCCATCTTAAACTGCTCTCCTGAATTCCAAATTTGTTCACTTACCTGTCCATTCTCTACCTGCATGTCTAATAGAATCTCAAACTTCACATCTCCAAAACCTCTGGGCTCAGGCCCACCATTTCTCATTGCCTCCACTACACCCACCTAGGTACAGTGCCATCACCACCCATGTGTGGACAGTTACAGCACCCTCCTAAATGTCTGTTCTTGCCCGTTCACAGAACAAAAGGTCACATTATAAGAATTTGGTAATGTATCCTCTGCTCATCCTCCAGTCGATTCATCTTCTTGTGAAGAAAAGTAAAGATCTTAGTTCCAAGCACCAAGCTGCTACTTGGGACAGTCCTCTCACCAACTCACTTACCCTCCCTTTCCTCTCCCTCTCAACAAGGGTCTGTCCCTTGTTAAACACTTGGCTTTGGAACACTTTCCTCCAGAGAGCTGTACAAACCCAAACCTCCCTTCAAGTTTTGTATGAATGTTACCTAGTCTGTTAAGGCTTAGCCCCTAGAGAAAAAAGAAGTCACCACAACCACCAATCATTCTCCACCTTTTATCCTTTCTTTTTCTCTGTACCAATTATTACGAGACATATCATACATTGGCTTCTTTGTTTATTTTGTGTCCCTCAATGAGGTCTCATAAAAACAGAGACTTCATTTCATCTAAAACTTAGTTCGTACACCATGTATCTGTTGTTCTAATAACATCTGCCTCAAACTGCCAAATTAAGTTCATGTTTAGCCATTTTACAATTTTACTATATAGCTAAGAATTACCTGATTATCTTTCTAGACTCTAGCTGAGAGTATTGTTGACTTAAGTACTAAGATTCACAATCCGGAAGACTTCAGTATAATGGCAGCAAAATCAGCTTGACAGTAATGGACTCTTAGGTACTTACATGGGCAATGTCTCCTTTTGTGCCTATGACCCGATCCTGAGAGTGCTTACTGAACTCAACATAGTGATCTTCTGTGAAGGAATGCCTACGGACAAAAAGTACTAAAATAACGTTTCAGAATATATTCTTCCAATGGACTGAAAAGAAAATCCTCTCAGCCTCTTGCCCAGCCATACTCACATGATGATACATATACAGAGAAAATAAATAAAAGTACAGTGAAGATTAAAAGAAAATTCCTCCTCATCAGTCTAGTCAAAAGAAATTACAAGAATTACTTTGGTCAGAGAAATGGTCAAATAGGGCAGCAGTGCCTTTGGAATATGCCCCAGCAAAAAATGCATCTATAGTATTTGAGTATGAGGAAATGTTAATAATCTACTTTGGATTATTAAAGATATTCCATTTTGGATGATTATAAATACACAGATGTTCCATTTTAGATTATAGGCTAAATATGTATCTCTATATATAAAAGTATATATGTAACTCTATATATAAAAGTATATCTGCTAAGAATATTCATAAATTAACATAAAATCTTATTAAACATGAGCCCCAAATGAAGAGAAGAGTCAGTAAATATTCACTGCATTCCTCATTTCCCCGAAAGGTTTCAACTCTAAGAATGAGATGAAGCAGCCTAAAATTAAGTAATTAACATACAGATTTTTTCACACAGATACATACTTCATATCAAATACTGATTTCATTCCCCAAAGTGCAGACAGAGGCTGGCTCCAAGTAGCAGATGTCAGCAGCAAGGACCCATCCTAAAAGAAGGAGGAGGTCTAACCATGTGTTTGTATATATGCAGATGTTCCTATCTGCCATCAGCATTGAGAAATATACACAATAAATAAAGCTTTTAATAGAGAAGACAGCAAAAATTCCCAGGAACCCAGAAACAGTTAAGCACCTAAGCTTTGAGTACACTCTATCTATTGGATGCTACAGAAAAAAATAAATTCCGAAGAATAATAAATCTTTTTCAACTAATAGTAATATAGAATAGATATTCAAGGAAGGGGGAAAAAATCAAATTGGGAAAGATGCAAAAAATTATTTTAACAACATTCTTCAATCTCCCACATCTGAAATATCAGTCAGCTGGGAACACAGTAACCCTTCTAAATGAAGTCTCTTAAGCTTTTCAAAACAAAGTCCAATAAAGAATAAATCCTTTTACTTTAAAATCAGAAAAATTATCTTGGTCATCTAAATAACCTTGACTCTAAGAACAAAGATGTCAAAAAACAAAACAAAGATGTCAATTCTATCCAGAGAACAGCACCACTAAGCTGGCATAATAGAAATGGCTTGTTTTCCTAAAACTTTACAGCAACCAGAGATCTCTTTATGGTAACAGAAAACAAATACATATAAATGTATATGTATGTATGTGTGTCTGTCTCTAACTCTACGTGACCGAAAAGTTAAGGGTTAGACACTATATCTTAGGGTCTGCAGGTCACATGCTCTCTTATTAAAGCTACTCACCTCTATAATTTCAGAGCAGAAGCAGTCACAGAAGCATGAGCATGCTCTTAAATATGGCTGTGTTCCAATAAAGCTTTACATACAAAAACAAGCAATCAGCTTGTGGGCCTACAGTTCATGTCAGATGATTATGAGCAACCTAGAGACTCTTACCCTGGAAGGTTCAAGGTGTGTGATGGCTGAGTTGTGACAGTTATAGCTGGCCTCCTCCTGTCCACTGAACACATTATAGAGTTTCAGCTGTCCCGTGCAGGTACCAAGCATCAGGAATCGCTCCCTTGCTGAAAATGCACAGCAGGTGAACCCACTCTCATCCTCATTGGCTTCCCGGAATACTGAAATAGGACGGAACCTACGCAAAAAAGAGAGTCAAAGACAAAGACTGCACAAGGGCTCGGAAGCTAACTTTGCTAGAAGGATGAGAAAAAAATACAGCATGTTTTAAATCAGTTTTTACAAAATATATTGTCAGTGGTCCACTTTCTTTTTAAATGAAAGGAAAGCAACTTCACTGAACAGGGAGAAAACCCAAGAAATCCACCAAAATAGAGGTGTGGGCAATCTCCATGTTTGAAGCCTCTGATTCTATCATCTTTAGGTAAGACTTGTAAAGTATCAGAATAAGAGGCTACTCAGACAACCACAAAAAGACATCTAGGGGCTGGTTAGGAAAAGGTGCCACATGAGTTCTTGAAAACATGTACAAAAATCGAGTTGTCAATCACTCTGTAAATACGTATACAAAGATTGACAAAAGGAATTGTATTTTTCATATAATCACAGGAAGTAATAACCATGGTATTTCAGGCCAATAAACAGCATTCCAGACAAATTACTATGTACTAAAAGTACCCACACATTGTAAATACAAAAACCATTCCCATTTCTAGGGCACAGATGTCCTTCCTTACCTGCTAAAGATAAGGTGCCTATCAAAGCATCCGCCATCCACCCCTCCATACTTTGGAAATGATGCCCTGCGGTTTAGCCTTGAGGTAAAGTTTATTGGTGCCTGCCGCCTCTGTTTTGGCTCAGGACACTGATGAGGAGTAAAGAGAGAGAAAGGTGGACAGGTGGCAACTGGGTTCTTGCAGCGGGCATGCTGCTCTCTAAGATACTCTGTGATGATACTATCCAGTGTGGGTGGGGAAGGAAGGTGTCTGTCCAACTGCTTTTTTATGGCTGGGCTTTGGCTGTAGGCGCCATGGTCCGACTTTTGCCGCAACACTCTGATTTTCCTGCCATTGCAGGGTGACGACCTCTCTCTGATAAAACTGATCCTGCCAATCAGAGGAGAATTGCCTGCAAAGGATGGGCCAGGTAGAGCTAGTGAACTCTGGGGAGGCCGTGGCTGAGGATGGACAACAGGAGCAGTGGGGGCAGGGGGAGCCACAGGGGTGTGGCTGCTCAGTCGGGCTGCAATGCCATTGGCAATGCGAGGAGTTCGGGGAAGAGAGACAGGAGAAGCAGCAGCAGTGACTGGGGTGAAGGCAGAGGAATGGGAGGCAGCAGTCATAGGCAGGTCTGCCTCTTTCGTCAGCACAGTTGCTGTCTCTCCAAGCCCTTTGGAAATAAGATGGTTTCGTATCAACAGAAGAAGCTCCTTTTCAGGGAAGGAGATCCTTGACTGAGCAACAACATCTGCTTTCTGCAGTCGTGCCAGGGACACATCAGTGCCAATAAGAAGTGGCTTTCCTGACACTCGTTCTATGAGCTCAGCGGCATACTTGCAGAACTTGACATGGTCACTGCGCTTGTCCTGCAGCACAGGCTCCTTCATCAGCTGCTGGATCTGGCAGCTGCTGAAAAGAGGCAGTTTGCTGATGATCTGCCGAACAGTGCTACTGCGAGACAGTCCTACCAAGGCCTTACAGGCCAGGGCCCGGATCTGGTCTGCATCTGTGATGGGCATCTTGATGGACAGTAAGGAGAGGAGCACCTTGATGCCATTGTTTGACTGGACCACATTCCACATCTTCGCCAATGTGTGTTCGCTGCTCTTAGGGGTCTGAGGCATCTTTCGTCGAGGAGTTCCAGAGATAAACTTGCCAATACTAGAGATTCGGTTATCTGGGCCACATACACAATTGATGATAATCTGAAGAGCTGACTTCTGAATTTCAGCATCATGGATAAAAAATTCACCCTCAGCTACTCCCAGAATAATGCTGATACCTATTGAGAGGGGAGAAAAATATTCTTTATTATAAAATGAATAGCCAAATATATCTCACATCCCAGACTCAAAATAGGAAATTCTATTTAAGAAGAGCTACCTCACTTTTTTCAAAAGTGCAAGGATTTGTAAAAAACACAGTATGTTCTGCTACACTGTATTCTTCAACACAGTATCCTCATTATGCAGGGGTTTTTTTTAATTTTTTTTTTTTTTTAGTGTGTGTGTGTGTGTGTGTGTGCACGCGCGTGTACCGTCAAATCAGATCTGACTGGTACAGGAGGAGATTGTCCCTCCTTCCCCGGCAGAGCATCTGGTCATTATGCAGTTTTTAAATGATAGGGGATGTCAGTATTATGTGGAAATATCACCAAGGTTCTTGCGCCAACATTTCCTATGTAAAGGGAACTTAAGGTTACTGGTAATCAAAAGTTTACAGAGAAAAGAACAAACTTTTCAACTTAGCTGCTACAGGGACAGCAGGTATCCTTTCCACTATATATGAAGATTAATCCCATCTTGGGTTTCCTCCCCAGAATGGTGCACCCAGGACTCTCAACCACCTGCAACACTTTCACACTCCCTGAGCAGCAGCCCCCCCCACCCGTGCTCTGCATAAGGTGCTGTCGATGCTTTCCTCTGTCTTTGCGTATATCACGTTACAAACGTTGTGTTACAATTTTGACTATCTTACTGTCCTATTAAACCTGATTTTTAGTTCCAGATTCTGCAGAGTGTGAGGCATTCAAGAATGTATACATCCTATTATAATAAAAATATCTGTACCACTTAGAAAATTGGTGTTTACTAGCAAGATTCTATTACATGAAACTGTATGACACCATCTACAAGGCAGATACAAGGTATTCTTCTCTTCCATTTTCTGTTCTAATATGACAAAATTAGATCAGCTAAGTAACCAGAGAAGAAAATCAAAAGAAAAACAAATCTAGATCAAGCAACAACAAAAATGTCCTGGTACAACCTACCAACAGTGGAGACCGTGGAGCCTGCCTCATCCAGCACATCCACGGATTCTGCCAACTGGAGCTGGATTTTTGGAACTACCGTGAGAATAGCCAGGACATCCAAAGCAAACCGCACAGTGTCATTCCTAGACAGGAAGAAGAAATAGTCTGAGTGAAACTAGTAAACAACCAAAAGAAACAATAATAATTTTTTATTTTTAAAAGTACAATGGATCAAAACCATTGCCACTGTGGCTCTGCCCCTACCTACAGCAGGAGGAGAGGATCTTTTAGTCACAATATTAATTTATAAACTGAAAAAAGGGAAGGGGGAATGGTTTTTGCCACTTATGAAAATGATAAAATGGAGGGGGGATTAGTTTCCAATGCTAATAAGGTTTTATACAGATAAATATACTTGAACTTTTAGTGTAAATAGAAATTAGAACATTCATTTCTCATTTTAGAAAGCATTCTGGAAATAGAATCAAGACTTTTAAAACATTCCTAACTTTACGCCTAGGAACTTTAGCTTAAGTTATCAGTACTAAAAAACTAACAGTGCACTAATAGTGTAAGCAAGTATTTATGTATTATGAAGCTCATTACCACATCATTAAAACAGCAAAAAAGGGTTAAAGAAAATATACACAACCAACAGGAATAAATGTGTTAAATTATGGCACTTTCACACAATGAGCTACTACTGTGCAAACACTTAACTCTTTGAAAAGTTCAAAACACAACATTAACAAAAAAAATCTGTTAATATTAAATACTGGCAAGAAGTTGAGAAATTAAAACCCCATATACCACTGGTGAGAGAAGAACCATTTTATAAGCAATTTGGTAATATCTAATACAGGGGAAATTCCAAGATACTACACACCAGCTTCTAAGCCCTATCATTGGCAAGAGACTCCGAAAGGCAGTCTGCAGTAGATAACCATGTCTTTAACAGCAAACAAACAAAATATCCAAAAACCCCCACTATGCATCAATAGAGAAAGAGATAAACTATTAATATACAGCAGTTTAAAGGACTATCATTTGTACATAAACTTTAAAAATATAGGCTGAAAAAGCTGTAAAAGATGGAAATAGCCTATTATCTACATAAATTAAGAACATAAATGAAATCAGTGTAGTGTTGTTTATGAGCACATACATATGCATAGGATAAACAGAGAGAATGTGCTTCAAACCTAAGTGGTAACTCTCAGAGTCAACAACAAGGCAACTGAGGAAGAAATAAATACAGCAAAAGGTCAACCCTGGTTCACCCTGGGTATAGATAAATTGTTACAGATTCTGTGCACCTTTGTGTACTTTTAAATGCTTTATTTAAAAAGATGAGCTTGATTAAACAGTATTATTATCTCAATTACAAATTATTTCCAGAAATCTGAAAAAGGCTCGGTCTACGAGTAATTTTCTTCTCTCTTTTTTCAAAGTTCTGTATAGTTTAAAACAGAAACAAGCATTTATTCATTTCATTTTTAAAGTAAACCTCAAAAATAAAGGTCACATTCCACATATATTCACATCATTATCTCAGTAATCTAAATATACACTTATAAGTAAAAAATGTATTTACACCTTTCCTAGTTATCCTGTGAGCTTTCATCATCTTTTAAGCAAAGTTCTCCAAGTAAATACAAAAAACCTACTTCTTTTCAATACTCAAAAACAGCAGTTCTCAAAGTGTGGTCAGGAGGTCGTGTGAGGTAATAATAATTTTCATAGATATACTAAGAAGTTATTTTCCTTCCTCACTGTCATCCTCCCACGAGTGAACAGTGGAGCTTTCCAGAGGCTATGTGATGAATGAAGACACAACAGATTGAATGCAAAAGCAGTTATGAGAATTTAAGCCAGACATTTAAAAATTTTGCTAAATTCATCTGGTTTTTGTTTTGGACATTTGCTAATTTTTTTTTTAAAAAGCTAACATGCAATGGATTCATATTAATTTTAAATAAATCAATACTAAAATTTTTCTGTTTTCATTTCTAATATTAAAAACAAAAGCTCTTTCGGGTTATCAATAATTTTTAAGATGATAAAAGGTCCTGAAACAAAAAAAAAGAAAAAAAGAGAGAGAGAAACCCTGGAACTTTAAACAAGCTATATTCACCCTCAACAAGCCCCTCTCATCTTTATCATGGCAGTGAGCAGGGTAGGAAGAGGTCATAAATTATTATCTCTTCAGATTCCACCTTTTCCAAAGTGTAATTTATACTTGTTTTCTATGATACTAAGGAAGCCATCCAACATCCTGTTTATATTGACTGCCTTTTTCAGAGTCATCTTCTGCTCTGCTCTGTTTTTTAACTAACCTGTAATATTCATTACAATATACTTCATTTTAAAAGCAGTTATACAATTCTATGTGAATACACGATCAATTTATCTGGCTGTCAAATACCAGGGAACATTTAAAATTAAGTACCAAAGAATGTGGGACTTCAGTCTTAAAACAGGACTCCAACCCTAGATTTACAGCTGTAGCCTAGTAAATTATATAACCTCTACATAGTAGGGAGCTCTGGTGGCCCAGCGGCAAGATGCCATACTGCAATCCCGAAGGCATGTGGTTCAAATCCACCAGCTACTTTGCAGGAGAAGGATGGGCAATCTCGTTCCACACGATTAACTGCCTCTGCAAACCCGCTAGAGGGTAAGGTATGGGTCAGTTCTGGCTCGATGGTACACAACAACAATTTGATAGTACAGATGTTGATCACTGCAAATTGTACAGTATTTACAACCACCCAGATCATAAATATGAACAGGCATTTTTTTACAACAGAAATCATATTATCATGCTTATCTAGCTTCATAGACTCAAGCCCAACCATTCAATTCAAGAGATATTTTTCAAACATACATCATGAGTAAACCAAGATCAACTTTAATAAAGAGCAGGATATAGCTTCATTTGCAACCTCTCTCTGGTCCCACCTTGCATAATAGGTCTTCCAATTGCAGGCAATAGAAATTAGCTGCAACAAGAGTTGCACACAAGAAAGTTTGAGAAAGACTTCAGCTGGTTCCCAATAGAGTTGTGCTGGGCCATATTCTATCAAAAACTCCATCATTTCCACAATTTGCTCATGAGTATATGAACATGCCTATAAAGAGAGAGATAAGATTATGAATCCTGGGTCATGGAACAACTGGTTTTTAACAAAAAAGCTCTGAATAATAACAGCTTTGAAGTACCACAGCACTTGAGTCAATAGTCCATGCATGAAATAATGAGTATGTAGTATTTAATATTTATAATAACATTTACATCAATATTTGCTCAGAAAAGGAAGTCTTCAATATCAATTTATTTTTAATTTGTAACATATATATAATGTTGGCATCTGATGTTATAGATATTTATTATTTTATTTATATATAGATTTTATTTTTATATAATACAGATGTATAATAATATAATTTTATTTTACTGATGATATAAAGTGAATTAAAATAAGAAACAAATGAGTGACTCAACAAAATGTGGTATATACCTCCAATGGAATAGTATTGAGCTGTAAAGAGAAATAAAGTCTCGCTACATAATAAATACAACAGAGATAAACTGTTAAGACATCATGCTAAGTGAAATGTGTCTGTCTCAAAAGGACAAATATTGTATAATCTCACTTATATGAAATGACAAAAAAAGATAGAGATAGATTAATGATTACTAGAGGTTAGTGGTGGTGGGAGAAAGGAGAAGGAAATGAGTCTCTGGAAAGTACTGAGTTTCTGTCTATAGTGATGAGAAAAATGACTGATTAAGGACAACAATTATATAACCTAACTAATGATGTTAAGTATTGACTACCCCATGGTCTGTCAAAAGAACAAATCTGTCCTGAAGGAAATGCAACCAAGGTGCTCCCTGGAGGCAAGGATGGTAAAATTTCATCTCACATATTTTAGGCATATTGTAAGGAGAGGCCAGTCCTTCGAAAAACAGAAGACGACCTTCACCATATAGACTGACACAACCACCTCACCAATGGGCCTGAGTATGGTGGAGATTGTGAGGATGGTACAGGACAGGGCAGGTTTTGATCTGTTACTTATAGTCACTAAGAGTCAAAGAAGACTCAAGGGAACCTAACAACAACAATGTAACACTACACCAGAAAAAGTGAAATCAGTAAATGTGATGCTAAATATATTTTACATCAACAAAGATGCTATGGAACAATATGAAACCTTAAAAACAAACAAAAATAACACAGGGAAGTGAAGAGCTGCTGATACTACTAATGTATAACCAAACACCTTACATGATTACAGAAAATTGCCAAATTACAAATGAGTTCCATTTCTAAATATTAAGTTAAATCTGTATATATAAACCAGAACAGTTGCGTACACTTTGTATCTAACATCAGTTAGTCAAAAGTTTGTCTTAGTAAAGGGTTTATAGTGTACCTTTCTATGTATAAAACACATATAAAAAATACTTCGATATACTGTTATTGACTACTATCAAGTGGGAACCACCTCATAGCTGACCTTCCAGGGGTTTTAAGAGGCAGTAATTCATACAGTAGGAGACAGCTCTTGTTTCACCTTCAAAGCAGCTAGTGGATCTGAACCCTGTACCTTTGGATTGGAAGCACAATTCTTTACCATAAGCCACCAGAGCTCCCTTAATATACAGTGCATACAGTGTACCTTTCTATGCATAAAAAAAATTAAATAAAATATTCTAAATAATAAAATAAATAAAAAGGGCCAAACTGTATTTCTGTTCTACCTAGTTTGGTGAATAAAAACTAGAATCTTAAAGGCTTGCAAGTCATCTAAGATACAACAATTGGTTTCCATTCACTAGGAGCAACAGGAAAATGATATTCAGGGACCTGAGACGGAACAGGATTAAGAACTATCTCCATGTACTACTATTTCTTTTGCCATGAGACTAGACAACTAGACGTTATCTGGCTACTTTTACTAAACATTTTGATCAAGGTCTAAATAGATTAATCCTGATCAAAATAGGGCAAGTTTAGAACAAAATTTTAAATTCCTGTAGAATCCAGGAATCTACATTCACCAAGACTGTAGGAAGCCCTGACTCCACTGCCCTGATGTAACCTCCAAAAACTTAAACAGAAATTATCCCAAAGTCATCGTTAAACCAAACCAGTAATTTTGCTAAACTGATTTAGAAATGTAGGTCTGCTTGAGCATTTGCTTCTCTAAGAAATATCTACCGAGGCTACTTCTTCTACCTTTCCTACTCCTCTCTGGTCTGGGACAACAAACACCATCTAGGACCTCCCAATAAAAATCTTCTTTGCTTAAAAAAAAAAAAGAAAAGAAATATCTACCAAACTGACAGCAGTAGATCAAAAGCACAGATTTTTAGGAAGTAGTGATTCTAAGTTAGTGGTGATGAATAATTTGGATAGAGGCAGCAAAAATGATGACAGAATGTGAAAAAATGTGAAGAATATTAACCAGTACCACTGAATGGTACATGTAGAAATTACTGAATATGTGATCGGCTGTGTAACATAAATTCATTAGGAAAAGAAAAGGGGAGTTATAGAGTACTCTTTCAGAAATTTCATACACAAGGAATCAAGTTTCATTTATAAAAGAAAGTTCTTTATATATTGTTTGTTGTTGTTATGGGCTACCGAGTTGTTTGCGAATCATAGCAACCCTATCTATGTACAATAGCCCTGAAACCTGTTCTATCTTATGCCAACCTTATTGTCTCTGATACACCTACCCTCATTACCCCAGTCACTGAGTCAATCCATCTCATCAAGGGTCTTCCTCTCATGCACTGTCCCACCACCCTTCCAAGGATGACATCCCTCTCCAAAGACTGGTCCCTCCCTCACATGCCCAAAGTATGTCAGATGAAGCTTCAGAATCTTTGCCTCCAAGGAGCAGCCTGATTTCACCCCCTCCAGGATGAACCTGTTTGTTCTCCTGGCATATATACTTCAGTTAATCATCTAACTCAATATTCCTGAGAAAATAAATGGCAACTTAACTACCATGAGCAACGTAAAGCCTTGAAATTCACTTAGTAAGTCCACTGTTTTGCCTGTACACCTGGTAAATATTACCCAACAATTTATATCCTGAATGTAAGTTTTGGTCGTATAAAGACTGTTGACAGAAATTCCCGTTTAGAACATGTCCCACTAACCTTATAGGGGGGTTGTGGATGGACAAGAATACCACCTTCAGTCCTCTGAAGTGACTGCTTCACTTGCTCCAATTTAATAGCCAGGTGAGCCTCAAAGTATTTTCGTAAGGCCATGCAAGTATGTTTCCCGGTCTGACGGCTGGCAAATATTTCATCATCACTCAGAAGGGCACCCTGATCTTCTAAATTTAAAATCTCCAAAGTACTGATCTATTAAAAAAGCAGCAAGGAGAATGAGGCAGAAGTTAGAAAAAGAATAACCCAGAAGAGAAAAATATAAAAGGGGGGAGGGGAAGGTAGAAAAAGATATTTTGGTAAACTTATGTATAAGAAAGCATCAAAAAGTACAGCTACAAAACATGCTAATAACAAGCATATAAATGTAAAATATTAAATCCACACTGAAAAATTACAGCATATTCAATTCATTACTGGAAGATAATACAAGCATAAAACTGTTGATTGTAGAAACATCAAGACTATCAGCAAGTCTCCACTCTAAGATTACAATATTCAAGGCAAGTTCTCCAACTACTTAAGAGGAAGAGAAATTTGTGAATAAAGGAGGAAAAACCCCTTATCCACAAAGAATGGTCATAAAAACTACACAGCTTCTATTGGGCACTATCAGAGCGCAGCCAATATAAGCAAGATCCCTAACCCTCCCAAGACAAGGCCACTGATAAGAGGCTGACCAAGTTCACCAGACGACGAAGACCATCATAGCGGTCAAAGAGCTCCAAGACAGCCCGAAAAGAGAAGCAAATTGAGAAAAACATGGTAGCATGGCAGCATCCTGAGGCATGAGAGCACTCCATTAACCACAGGGTATAGTTCACCACGTCAGACAAAACGTTGTGGGGATGCATGCAAACCTGTAAAAAAGGAAAAAAAAGATTTACAAAAATGTGGGGCAAAAGAACATCTGAAAAAAGATACAAAATAAGACAGTGTATTTTGCAAAATATGATCATTCTTATAGTCATTCTAAGTTTTACATGTTAAGCTCCAAATGAAATGCTAGAACCCACTGCCAGTACGAAAGCAACCAAAATTTAGATATTTAGATATTATTACATCACAATTTCTGTAAAGTTACATCATTTAATACTCACAATGACTCTGTGCCAAAAGATTCTTATTTTATAGGTAAGAGCAGTAGCTCAGAGAGATAAGAGTAATGAAACTGGCTGGATTTTCTTAAAGCACATAAATTTAGTAGAAGCATTCACCAATTCATTTATACATTCTTTGATGTCTATTATGTATCAGATAAAAAAATTATAATACATTTTTTAATTATATAAGGTTAATTATTAATATAACACAGAGATTAGTATACTATTTTAAAAGATTATCTACCCTAGCATAATGCTGAAGTTAGGTAGGAAAAAAAATTACCTTTACAATATTATTACCAATGTTACTTAAAAAGAACAAAGAAGAATTAAGATGTAAATGAAGAAGCTACCACAAAAAACCATCACACACAGAGTAGGAGCCTAGTTGGTAATGTAAGGGTGGTTAAGCGACAGATCAGGAATTCAAATCCACTAGCCGCCACTGTTAAATGGGACATGTAACACTTCCTAAAAAAATTTACAGCCTCAGAAACCCAACTCAACAGCAGTCGGTTTGGTTTTAATGTAAAAAGAAGTCTTTGCTTTTATAAAACCAAAGAATCAAATGAATGGGACTCTGTAGCCCTGAAGACAGCTAGAATGATCTTCCTATCTCCACCACAAACTACTTATTCACATACATCAATCAATCAACTCTTACTGGTTCTACAATAGATTGTCTAGAAAATATAAAACAGAATTGCACTGAAGGCCATGTGAAAGGGTCTGAAGGTTTAATTCTTATGCAACAAAGACAGCAAGAACTAAATAAAGCCCCTAGACCCAATTCATCTGGAATTTTCCCTACAGAATTAGGGGAAACAGGACTTTTGATGACTACTTTATATCTTTAGAAGACTTTGTGAAGAAGACCAGACATTCATGCTTCTTGTTCTTTCACTGCAATTCATTCCATTGACTACTGGGTTGTTTGGGGGTTTGGTTTTATTTCATTCTTTATCCAAAAGTTGTTCCATGAATATGCTCTTTTAAAGAGATTATCTCTTATCCAAGCCTTCTCTCATACCCAAGTGGACTAGACTTACTCTTTCCATGGCATCTTGGTTATAGGACAGGTAATACAAGCACATGGATACACCAGTTGCAGCCATAGAAGGACGAGGAATTTCCAGTAACTTCTGTACTCCACCATGAGCAACAAATTCTGTGGCAAACTTGTTATGGAGCAGTAGAGATGCTAGATGCTAAAAAAAAAAACAACAACACACTTTGCTATGGAACAATCACAAAATCTCTTGACAAAACACTAAATTAAGCTGTCAAATCAACTGAATTCTTTCTCTGAAGTAGACAATCATCCTTTATCCAAACACAAAATCAGTATCACAGTAACACAAAAAAGAAGATGCCGTAATATTACTTTTCCTTCCCAACTCCAAAAGCTTTTAAAGTTAAAAGAAAAAATACTGGTACAAGTAATGAAATAATCCAACAATCCTTTTATTATTATATATTTCACCCCTGAAGGGAATTTTTTCTTTATTTTCCTTTTTTTAATTCTCTAACATAGTAAGTTCTATGTTCTAGCAATGACCAAGTCACTGACTTGACAATTAATGCAGCCCTCAAGTTTGCCTTATTTTAAATTGATGCTTAAAATATCCCAAAAGAACAATTTTTAGCAAATTCTCAAAATTAATAAATTCTTCAATCTAATCAGAATATATTTTAAGTGGATCTTTAAAAGTTTTAGTCTTCTGTAAACATCCTATTCAGCTCCTCCTCCCTCTCTGGGTGGACCTCATCACCTAGGCAATGTGAGATCTGGATGACTCAGCATCCAGGCTAATGTGAACTGGGCTCAGGAGAGCTAGAGCCCCCTTCTCCTATTTCTCATGCCAAGCTATCATCCTGATGGTAACTCAGATGGTAAGGTTCAAACAAATTTATGTCTTCACTGCTGGTGCCAAGAGTGTTGAGTATGGATCCAAACATGAAATTGTTGACCAATTCAATCTTCTATCCATCTATCATGATGCTGCCTATTGGCTCAGTGTTGAAGATTTTTGTCTTCCTGAAGTCTTCGATTATATGCAACAAGTGTTTCAAGTCCTCTTCATTTTCAGCATAACTGAGGACAATCCCAGGACCAGCTCTACTTTGTACCTCAACATTTAGTCCTACAATTCAGACTCAATTCAATCCTCAACATTCAATCCTAGAGACTCAGGCTAATCTCTAAATTTCTGTGGAAGAATTTGGTAATCTCATCTATTCTAAGTAAGAATTTTTTTGTTTGTTACTATTCTGACTCCTCTGGCAACAGAAATACCCTGAACAATAAAATCTATGAATATTATATAAAACACATAAATTTCTGAGCAACTCAGTATCTTTTAAGAAGTTTACCTTTAGTGCCTCAAATGTAAGGAGGACATCATTAGTCTGTTTCAGATCAATATAGAACATCATCAACTCTCGTGATCCAAGTTGCATGAAAATGGGAAGCAACTAAAATAAACAAAAACAAGTCTTAAACTCAGCTTTATTTTCTCATTCTTAATTCCATTTTATAAAAATATAAGCTTAAAGAAATGAGGCCACTCTTCTCCCCTCACCCTTGTTGTTGTTGTGTACCAGAGTCAGAATTGACCCAAAGCTAACCCTCTTGTGGGTTTTGAGAGACAGTTTATCACACTCTTCTCCCACGGGAGCAGCTGGTGGCCTCAAACTTTTGGGATTTCAGTGCATCTTCTTGCCACCAGGCCACAAGAGCTCCCTCCCTCACCCTTATACAAATATGCTTTGATCAAAACATACAAGCATGCTTTCATCAAAGAGGTTTTATCAGAAGAGGCCTATACAAGACTCTACCAGTTTGGTGCAAACACTTTTTTAAAAACTAAACTAAGAATTTTACCAGTGTATATAATGCTACTGTCATAAGTACTCCAGAAAGAGACATACAATCTTCAAAGGGCAAACAGTACTCTTCCCAGCTTACCTCCTGGTATTCTCCTAGAGGGGTCAAATATTGGAGAATAAGTCGCTGCTCAATAGCAGGAGTCATGGGGTACAGAGTGTAATTGGTGCCAATTACCCAGGGCGACATTTCTGACCAGCTGCTATTAGACAACTCAACAAACATGCGATCTGGATCAGAAGAAGAGAAACCCAACTTCTGCTTGGCTTTTCTAAAACTATCTCTGTCTCCCTGTTTTGCTGACTTGTTTTTCCTCAAACCTTCCTCAGGTTTGGTTGCTGAGTTTACTCTGCTACTGGTCTTGTGGCTTGAATCAAGATGAAAAGAGATTTCCATGTCCCCAGAGGCTTCCTCGTGTTCACCATCTACTAAATCTACTGCCATGTCTCCGTAGTCCATATCCACAGCTTCCTCATCCAGAGGCAAAAGGGGTTCAGATGATAGCTTTCGTGGGCTGGGACGCTTGTTTTCTTGCCGCAAAGCCACTTCCTGAAGCTGCAGCTCCCTAAGTCTTCGAAGTACTATTGCCACCTATTAATAGATATTGGAATGAAAGTAGTTGGTTTTTCTGCATCTTAATTTAAATGATTCTTAACAAACAAAATTGCCACAAAACTAGAGTAATCATGCACTTAACAAGAGGCCAATATTAAAAATATGACAAATAATATTGATTGACTTGATTCTTTTAGCCTGGTAAAATATGCAAGACCTAAAAGTGTGGATTCCTCATAAAATTTTCCACAGACTCTAAAGCAAAAGATTTACACAAATCAACTTCATTTACAACCAATTTGGATCAAGCTGAGTTAGACCATCACACACAGAGAGGCAGACATTAGATACAATCATGATTTTCAAAGTGTCTTAGAAAATCAAATGTGAAGATTTCTCACTTATCAAACGCAACTAAAAGTTGTATTTTATTAAATACTGTCATGCATCCTGTATATAACTATATAATCTATTTTTCAAGTATTTCACTTATTTTTAACTTTCCCTTTAAAGCATTTAAATACTTTTTCACTTAGCTTAAGAGGTGTCAATGTACTTATTTTTAAAAAGAAAGAGACTGTAACTGACTTTGAATTTTATCCCTCCCGAAAAACAAGACAGAATATTGGCCATATAGAAGGAAGTGTAAATGGATGAATATGAACAATATATTAAAATATTCATGACTGAGTTAGGTTTTGTACATGGTGAGTCACTAGAAAATTATCTTAGTTTTGCTGTATGTTTGAAATAGTCATAATACAAATATTGGATGGGATAGAAAATAAGAGCAGTGCTATTCTTTATTTCTAAGACCCAAAATCATCCTTGACAAAACGCAAAGCAAGTTATTTATTAATTCAAAAAGTTAAAACAAAACTCTTATGGAAAGTAACTCTGAAATGTTAAAATTACAGCTCCAGTATAAAATAACAAATGAGAACCACCTTGATTAAGGTTCGGTAAGGGAACAAGAATACTGTGAATACTCTCTCAGCCTTTCCAAAATACAATTCTGATTCTTCCTTACCAGCTGTGAATTTTCATCTCTGTAATTGGCAGCAATGTCTTGATTTTCCATAGCACCTCCTAACAGACCAGTAGAGTATGTCCTCAATGGCTGATCAGCCTCTCGTGCCCATTTGAAAAGATTTTCAACTATTCCTTCCTGAACAGAAGAAATTATTTGCAGGAAAAGAAATTATCACATGTATTTCATGTAACTATGAAAAAAGTCTCTTTTGCAGCAATTTAAAATGAAAATTAAGTCTTAAAAAAATTTTATAAAATATTTCAAGTGTTCATAATAAAAATTAAATGCAAACAAACTAAATGTCTACAAGAAGATAATTTAATCAACTAGAATGAATACCTGTGAATGTGTAACAAAAGCAGAGGTCTTACTTTAGATACTAAGAACCAAATAGGTTCAATAACCAACTGAGGAATACTAGAGGCGCCATATCCCTCTTGGCCAATTACAAAGCACAGTTAACAATACAATACTCCGAAGTCCTCTATCAGGAAAATATTTAGCTTAAATCTACAACAAAGCCTAAATTTATTCATTTTTAATATAAAATATAATTCTTATAAACATGTATGATCCAGTTAAAAAAAATAAAAATCACCCACGATCTACGACCTGCCTTAGGTAACTGAAACCTCCCGCATACTCCAGCAACCACCATTACCAACCATACTCCTCCTTCCCAAAAAGGTACTCCTGAATATTAATAAATTTCTTGTTAAACTATTATTAAGCATAACTGTTACTTTTTTAGTTGTCTAAATAGGGTATCTTACATTTTTCTGAAATTTGTTATTTTGTTTCAGTTTAACTGTCACACTTAAATCTGACCCAAAATAAAATGGGCTTTAGAACCCTAAAGAAACCAGAACTGCCACCCAAGCAGGTATATGTACACTCATGTTTACTGCTACTTTGCTGACAATAGCAAAGAGGTAGAAACAACCCAAGGGCCCATTAACAAATGAATAGATAAGACATGCTGTGGTATATTCTCACAATGGAATATTATGCAGCACTAAAAAACAAAGAGTTCGTGAAATATTATACAAAATGGGTGACCCTGGAGAACATTATGCTCAGTGAAATATCTCAGTCACCAAAAGATAAGTATTGCCTAATGCACTGTCATAAAACAAGACTGATATGGGGGTTGGAGGGAAACTAAGAGGGGATAAATAATGTACCTGGCATTGAAACAGATGAGGGAAAGAACTATATAAAAGGAATATATGATTAGGTACTATTGGCATGACTAGGGTCCAGAATAAGAATTGCATAGTAAAGTGGGGATGGTGGTGGTGGGAGACACACAAGACTGTGTAACAATGAAAAAACTTTTTTCCCAAAAGAAAACAGCGAAGGGGGTGGGGGACAGGAAGGAAAATGTGCAACAATGAATCAACGGAAATCCAAGTTCTCTATAAACTTTCATTAAAATCTGAAAAAGAGGGGGCTTTAGAAATATTATTTAACTCTCCTAACAATCTACATGAAAAAGGGGGAACCCTCACTTCCATCAATCACCAATCTTTCCATTAACAGCTAAACTATCTGTGATATCCAAGGTTCTCTGCAAATTATCATTTGCAGATAGGAAACTGAAGTGCAAAGAAGTTAAGAAACTTGTCCAACATCATAAAACTAGTTAAGGGCAGAGTAGGAGTCTGACTCCACGCAATCTACTTCTACAAGCTATTCATCTCCAAACTCTGTTGCCATTATTCTGTTTATTAACAATGACACTGTAAACTGTTCTTGTTCAAGCATGTTCTTAAGGTAGATAAGGGAAACAGAATTGCTAAACTGTAGGATATGTTCACCTCCTACTTTACAGATAAGGCCAAACTATTTTCCAAAGTGAATAATGCTGCAATTCATTTTAACCAAGAGTGAAAATTTACATTTCCGTACATCTTTGCAAGCAAAAAAACCACTATCGGACTTTTTTTTTCCAATCTCTGGTCACAAAAATTTTTTTTAAAAAAGATCATTATTTTATCTACCTTGAATTTCTTTTTTTACTAATAAGTTTCAGTATTTTTTTTTTCATGTTTACTAAACATTCAAGCTTGCACTTTTGTGAAATGTTCATGCTTTTTTGCCAGAGTCAAGTGGACAAGCTCTGGAGGCATAAAGTCTGGAGCGAGTTGAACTGCTAACCAAAAGGCTAGGTGTTTCTGGCAGCTCAAATCCACCAGCAGCACCTCAGAATAAAGAGAGGCAATGTTAACCTCCTTTCCAATTTACAGCCTAAAAAAATGCAACGGAAGGTCATTTGACTCAAGAGCAATGAATCTGAGTTTAGGTGGATGAGGAGTCCAGTGCTGTAGTTAAAAGAATTCAGCTATTAACCCAAATATTGGGGGAAAGGAATTCGCCCATTAACCCAAATATTGGAGTAAAGAGATGTGGCAGAATACTCCTGTGAAGATTTAAAGCCTTGGAAATCCAACATGCAGTTGTCATTACAGATTGGAAGTTATGTGACAGCAGTAGGTTTGGTTTAAGCAGAAGCAAGTTCTTCAGTTTTATGTAATCAAATTAACAATTTTTTATATTTGTATGTTTTATGTCATAGTAAGTTCTTCCTAGGGTCAGGGAGACATTATCTTGTATATTTCCAAACATTTTAATCTCCCTGAAAAAAACATGACCACCTGAAGAACACATGGGAAACCATATATAATCAAAGTAATTTCAAAGAAAAACCTGTTAAAACAGATGAGTGAATCCCTAACAGTCTTCATCAGACTGGATTTACAGCATTCATGACCAAGCTGATAGTATGAAACACCTGGTGCACAAATATAAAACTGCCCAGATCTATAATCTATTCAGTGTGATGAAAAAATACAAACCAAATAATTTTAAATAAAAGAATTTATCTTAGTATTAGCTGAGTACTAAAAACTAATTAAAACAGAATGGATTACCAAAAAAAAATTAGAAAGTCTTCAATTATTACGGAGAAATAACATTTATCACTAAGAGAAATGTTTGGATGAAACATTTATCACTAAGAGAAATGTTTGGATGAGGTCCTAATTCCATCCTGAAAACATTAGATTCTAAGATTTTTTTAAACTACTATTGTACCCAAGCAGCAACTATTCCTTAAAACAGTTATGTCTGACATTTTCTTACTGTCTAGATTTTGTCAATTACAAAATAAAATGACGAATTTGAAAATCTAAACTTCATGAATAAATAAGTAGTGAATCACCAAATAAATAACATGATGACTGCTCTTCTTGATAAGTACCTTTTCTTGAAAGACAACAGCAGTTTCCAGCCCTGGCATGATGTCCAGTAGGAGTCTACAAGCTGCAGTGTTTAAAGGGGGCTCTCGGCTTGTCATCACATACGCATTCACCAACTAAACAGAAAAAGAGGAGTAGTTTCGATCTGAAATATAATCAAGTCTATATTCACAAAGTCTAATAAATTCTCACTATATTACTATTGTTTTCTTAAATGTATATGAGAAAAATACACCTCACAATTACTGATTATATCTTTAATTATTTTAACTATGATCCTGCTGAGCAAAATGGTATCATACATATTTCTTTTTTCAACCTTAAAGCCAAATCCCCACAAAACAGTAATTTGGCAACTACTTAAATTAAAAGTTAAAATAAGGTTACCATAAAGAAGTTAGCTCTTTCCTTTACAAAAACACTTTCTGAAGGAAGTCAAAAGGGCAAAATAAAGATTCAGATTACTGATCTTAGTAAATAAAATTTTTTCAATTCAAATTATGTATAATCTCTCTTGGTATCTTCTTCTGCAATCAGTATCCAGTAGCTCAACAAAGGAGACCATTCAGAAAACAGACAATATCATGAATGTACTGTATATGGAAGAAGCTAGGAGGCTGAATAACCTCCTGCAGAGAGGACTCAGAAAAGGCTTCAGAGAAGGAATTCTAAGATGGAAAGAAAGAACAAGCAGAGAGCAGCAAAGGAGAAATATGCAGTATGGGAAAATCAACGGGCAAAAACTAAAGGTGGAGAGAAGGAAAGTCAGAAAAAATTCCATTTCCATGATTTTTCAAGTAAAAATTAAAGCTGAGAAAATTAAAACCTGTGGTCAATGTGGTTAGGTGCCAAGTCAAGTACAACTCACAGTGACAGGGGCAACACATCTGCCATCGTCATCACCCCTCACAAACTTGAGTCCACTGCTACAATCACTATGTCAATCCATCTGGTTGAAGGTCTTCCTCTCTTTCACTAACCCTCCCCCTTTCCAAGCATGTAGAAGGAGCACATTGGTTGCACCTTTTCCAAGACTTATCTGTTTATTATTTTTGCAGTCCATAGAATATTCAGTATTCTTCTCCAATACCACAACTCAAATTCTTCTGTCATCCTTATTCATTGTCCAGATCTCAGAAACATAGCAGGTGAGTGAAAAGATCATGGCCTGAATCAGCCCCATTTTAGTCTTCAACCTGGTTTCATTACTCCTCAATAATATGAAGAGGGCCCCGACCACAGACTTTCCCAGTGCAATACATTTCCTGGTTTCCTGACTAACGGTACCAAGGGTGTTGACTGTGAATCCAAGTAAGATAAAGTTATTGACAGTTTCAATCTTTTCTCCATCTATTATGTTGCTGAAAGGTTCAGTGGTAAGAATTTTATTTTTTTTACACTGAGATATAATCCATAATTGGCTGTAATTTTTTATTTTCTGCAGCAAGCACTTCAAGTCCTCCTCACTTTTAGGAAACAAGGTTGTGGCATCTGCATAAGGTAGGTGAGTAGAGGAGTCATCTTCTGATCATGATGCCATATTCTTCATACAGTCCAGTTTCTTGAATAATTTGATCAGCAAACAGACTGAATATGTATGGAGAGGAGATACAACTCTGACATACACCCTTTTTAATTTAAACCATGTAGTGTTCCCTTACAGAGTAGATGCCACTTCTGCTTCCAAATCTGTCTTAAACTGGGAGCTGTGCCAAATACTGTCCACCAAGGGCAACCATTATGGCATCTGACACATGCCTATAGAAACTCTATGAACTTAGGAGAAACGATGATAGTAGTTATAGAAAGACTTCAGGTCTTTTGTTCATAGGGTCGCTATGAGTCGTGATCTACTTGATGGCAATCATCATCAACAAACAGTATTTCCTTTCCCTGTTCAAACAAGAGCCTCTTGGTATACATATAAGTTTCATTAAGAGCACTAGTAAGTATTCTGGGCTTCCCATTCTTCTCAATGTCAGCTATAATTTATTATGATCTACACAATCAAATGCTTTTGCATTGGCATATCATTGTTTTGTTTGTTTGTTTGTTTTTAAATTTTATTTCATTTCATTATTTTTTCTGTGTACCGTCAAATCAGATCTGACTGGTACAGAAGGAGATTGTTCCTCCTTCTCCAGCAGAGCATCTGGTGGATTAGAACCGTGCACCTCTGAGATTGCAGTGCAACTTCTTGCCACTAGGCCACCAGAGCTCGCCTGGCATTATCACTGTTGATGTCAGATGGATGCTGGCTAAAAGCAAAGAATAACAGAGGAATGTGTTTGTGGTCAATAGGAAATCATTAATTAATTTTTAAGCAAGAAGGTGCCATGATCCGTTTTTGTGTTTTAGAACACTTTCTAGGATATAAAGTGAACAGTGGTTTGAGGAGGGTAAAACCCAAGAGAAATCAGTTAAATTTCTAAAGTAACTACGTAAAAATGCTAGAAACAAAAAAAAGGAGAATAAAGTGATTTGTCAAGGCTTTTTTACCAAAAACAACTTAAATTCATTGCTTTTGAGTGGGTTTTCAGAAGCCAAAAACTACATGGAGAGGGCAGCACAATTACCTTCTATGCCACCAGAGCTCCAGTGTGAAGTTTAAAAGAGAGTAAATTATAAGAAGTACAAGTCTGGGAGCAGATGGGTAAGGATGGGGTAGGGGAAAATCATAGGGTTGAACAACCTGGTGGACAGAGGTGGCAAGGTAAAGAAAATGGGAAAGATCCAGCAGAGATCTCAAAACAGAGGGTAATGGTGGGCATAGTTCAATGGTGATTAATTTTATAAAACATAATGAATGGGAATGATTGTATGAAACATAGCATGAATGAATAGTGTAAAACACAATGTATACAAACTGTGTAAGCAAACCAATGTAAAATAACTTAAAAAAAAAAAAGAAAAGAAACCTGTAAGTTTACTGAATGACAGAACAAAAAGAGGTAAAGGCTAACTTCCAGCTGACTAGACAAAGACACTGTTACTGAGTTTGAGAACACAAGAAGTTGATTTGGGAGATAATGATTAGTTCATTTTTAGATACATGGAAATCAAGATGCCTTTGCGGGATAACCAGGTGGGAATGGCTAAAAAGCAGCTTTGAGGCGATCTGAAAGTGAAGGGAGACTTCTACACTAGAAAATAAAACTGTGAGTCAACACAAGTTAGTTATGAATAACAACAAATACTGAGCCCTCATAATGTACCAGGCTCTGTGCCAAGCATTTCTCACACTTAATTTTATCCAACAATCACAAAATATTTTAAGTACTCTCCTCCCAATTTTATTTCTTAGTGAGGGGGGAAAAAGCTTAAAGAATATAAGGCTTGGGGGAGCTCTGGTAGCTTAGTGGCAAGAAGCTGCACTGCAATCCCAGAGGCGCACGGTTCAAATCCACCAGATGCTCTGCGGGGGAAGGAGGGACAATCTCCTCCTGTACAAGTCAGATCTGATTTGACGGTACACACACAAAATAATAAAAAAATTTTAAAAAAAATTAAAAAGGAAAAAAAGAATATAACGCTTGGAAAGGCCTGAGATACTTTCCCCACAGTCAAACTGTCCGTAGAGCTGGATTTAAATCCAAAACAACGAACCTTATAAAATTCTTGCTCTCAACAATGCCAATTTGCCTCCAAAAGCAAAACAACTGTCACCATTTAAAAGCAATCATGTTCAGGAGCTGCTACATACAATATAAATTACATCTATATTTTAATAATGAATTCATAACAAAAGTCCTAGGAATGTTTCTCTCTATTTGCCCAAAGCTCAAACCACTGTGTCAGTGCAGAATTATGTTATATGTACAACTGTTATTTTTTAATTCAGGAACTCAAGAGGATTCTCATATTCCCCAACTCAAAATACCCTTGCCCAAGAACGACCAAAGATGCCTTGGAAGCTTTCACAAATTTTCTACTAAAAGTACGCTATTAAGAACAAATACCTTGACCACAAGCAGGACTTTGGCAAGAAGCAGCTCATGATTATTTCATTTCAATTGAACAAAAACCTAAGTAAAAAATCTACTCGCTCTACTCCCAAGTTTGGCAAGGCCTTAACAGAAAGCAAACTACTTATAAAATACAGGAAGAAGGGAGAACATATGCTGCTGACAATCTTTCAAGACTAGTAAGATATAAACCTACTGCATTCATGAAATCATCATTCTTGAAGAGTATTCGTAGCAAGTGGCCCAGCATACACTCTGGATCAGCTCGACCTACCAAAAGAAGAGGGGAGGGACAGAGAAAGAATAAGTCAATCATCCTAGTCAGGCAACTCAAAACCTCAGGAAAAATACCTAGGTTGTTACAGTTGTTGTTGCTGAATACTGTACAGATGGAACTGACTCATAACTGACCGGCTACCAGTTTTCAGAGGCAGTAAATCACAGGGGAGGAGACCACCCATCTTTTTCCTAAGGAGTGGATTCAAACTGCGTACCTTACTACTAAACCAACAGAACTCCCTAGGTTGTTATAAGTAGTATTAAAATATCAGCAAAAAACAAGCATAAACAAAAGAGAAAGACTGTTTTGATGAATTAGATTTCATAAGAAAAACTGAAAATTACAACATAAAAACTGCTCTCTAATTGTCCTATGAACCAGCATACTGCCTGAAAGTGATGCTGAATTAAATAAACACTGAGCCCAGATTAGCATCACCATGGGTCTAAAAGGTCTACAAACATTACAAAGGATCTAAGAAATTAAAAAAAAAACCCTCCTGACCTTCTAGTCAAACAGAGGAAAGGAAGCATTGACTCTTGATGCATGGGCCTTAGGAAGACAGGCTACAGGCTTAAGCTACAATGACAATAACAGCAGAGATATATCCTCAAACCTGTACGGCGAAGTCAGAGAGGGGAAAGTTGTCTTAGTAGGAAAGCCTACTAAGCAGTCCCCAACTCTGAAGATACACTGACCTTGACAATCTTAACTCTTAGGGTTCTGGGGAAAGACTGGAGGACGGGGACCCAAGAACTACTCATGGTTCAATATGATAGTTAATGATTACAGTATTTTGTCTGAAGAGATACCAACTATCTAATTTAACTTCTTTGAGAGCACTAGAATGGCAAATATAGTAGTAAAAGGACACAATTTAGGCTGAAAATAAAAACACAATTTAGGCTGAAGTATTTACCATTTTGCAATTGGTTTGCCAAAGTAACTTGCCAAGAAAAAAACTCAGAGATACAGTATAAAAACAAATCAGGACCAAACAAACTAGAACCTAAAATTACCTTTCTCTTTTCATATATAATTAAATTGACACCTTATTTTGCTAATAGAACACAGTATTGGGCAGTAGCAAATACTGCTTAAAATCACAGAGGTAAGGGTAAGGGGGGGAAATTGTTTTTAACTTTATAATAAAAAAAAGACATAACTATTCTCGGATTGTCTTCCTTCTTTCCATTTCATCCACCGCAAAGTTACCAAGCATACTCATCTTTTAATTCTTTTTATGGAATGTACATTAACCTAATTTTTTTCTTTTACTTTCACCTATGTACTTCTTCATGTTCAGATTTCTTACCTTTACTTAAAATATGGATTAAATACGTAAATAAGCTTCTGAAGTCACAAACAGGAATGTCTAGGACAAATGCAGCAGCTGACATCATATAAACTTGAATGAATATGAACTTGATGCCTGGCTTTACTTACATTTGAGAACAAAAGTCCAAGAAATGGAAATAAACCTGGAACATTCAAGTGACCACAGAATCTTATTTTTATAACTCAGTCATTATATAAGCACTAAAAATTTCAATCACTTTCCTTCAAAAAGGACTCCTTTTCACTATGGAGTTTATATGTACTGTAATCCTATATATGACTTAAGATGTGACACTGGTAACTTACCTTAGAGAAAACATAAAATGGTAGTCTCAAATTTTACATAGTCTTATTTTTAAATTACATGTGTAAGAAAGTTGGGTTGCCATTGCACTTATTAAATTAGTTCAAAACAATACCCAAACTAAAAAAAAATTGGCATATATTAGCCATCAAAACACAAAGGCAGACATCAAGAAGTCTGTTTATTATTCTAGGTTCCAAGTAACAATTCAACGACTTAAAAAAAGCAATGCATTTAATATATTCTTAACTAAATTTACCCATCAATCAAATAAGAACAAATATTACTGTTAGAAAGATAAAAAGGAAAATACTCTTGTAGTTTAGATAATATTTTACTTTTTTAGTCCTTATATATTTTTTATACCACTGAACCAATTAAGGGGGTTTCTTTGAGTGCAAGTTTACAAATCACATTGGTTTTCATTCATTCATTCATAGCCACTTTATTTCACACATTAACTACAGCTGATAATTAAGGCTGGTTTTGTTCTGTTTTTATTTAACCAACTGTTATTAAGCTGACCTAATTAATGTATACCTAAGTAATTTAGTTCCTATAAAGTAGGTCTGTTCTATTTGATTTATAAATAATTTGTATTTTCCATTAATTTCATCTTCCTCATTGCCCCTGTATTGGACAATATTTCAACAAATACCTCAAAATTTACCATCAAAAATACTAATTCAAATGAAAAATATCTTAGTAATTTAATTTTAGAAGAAAAACACAAATCTTACCAGGATGTCGATCATCAAATGGGTCTGGATCTCCCTTACGATATTCCTCAGTTTCTTTTTCAATCAATTCCGACATCCTAACACAAAGGAAACATAAAGGTCAACTTAACGGAAGAATACAGAAAACACACCACCACCAGCAGTCAACACAGGAGTAAAATGAAAGCAAAGAATTAAGAAAAGAGTATTTTCCTGATAAATAAATTATGCAACTATCTTGAAAAATTATTTCCATTTTCAATCTCATTCTTCTCATTACCTTTCTTGCTTCGAAACTAATACAAGAATAGTACTCACAAGCTTAAATTAAAAATTTAGGAGTCATCATTAGTAAGTCTCCTTTCTCTTCATTCCCTGTAACATTTTCTATTAGCTCTACCTAAGAAATATTTCCTACCTCCTATTTCTTCTTGCCTAAACTTAGCCACATTTAGATAACAAATTTTAATAACAAATTACCAGAACTACAGCCTTCACTCAGGGAGTTTTGGTTGCTTAACGGTAAAAAGCTGTGCTGCCAACACAAAGGCATAGGCTCCAAATCTACCTGCTGCTCTATGGCAGAAAGATGGGCAATCTCCATATGCATGATTTACTGCCTATGAAAAAAGGCTAGAGGGTCAACTATGAGTTGGTTCCATCTCAACAGTACACAAAAACCAAACAGCAGCCTTCAATATGGATTAAGCAACAAAAGGTCAAAATTGTTAACCATTTCAACTTACTTGGATCCACAATCAACAACTTTGGTACCAGCAGTCAAGAAATCAAAAGACATACTGCATTGGGAAAACGTGCTGTCAAAGATCTCTCCAAAGTGCAAAAGAACAACGATATCTGTTTAAAGACAAAGTCTTTTCTAGTACTTGTGATGCATCTCAAAACCGGACAACTAATAAGGGTGACAAATGAAAAACAGATCCCTTTGAGTTTTGGTGTTGGGAAGAATGCAGAATATTCCATGGACTGCCACAAGAATAAAGTCTTGGCAAGTTCTGGTAGCCTAGTGGCATGAACCTGCACTGCAATCCCAGAGATGTGTGGTTCAAATCCACCAGATGCTCTGCTGGAGAAGGAGGGACAATCTCCTCCTGTATCAGTCAGATCTGATTTGATGGTACGTACACACACACACACACACACACACAAAATAGTAATTTAAAAAAAAAAGAAAAAAAGAATAAAGTCTCAGAGAAGCACAAACACAGTGCTCCTTAGAGGAAAGGATGTTAAAATATCTTCTCAAAGATTTTGGGCATGTTGTCAGGAGACAGTCCTTGGAAATAGGCATCATGCTGGGAAAGGTGGAGGGTCAGCAAAAGAGTAGAAAATCCTCAATAAAATGGACTGACACAGTGATTATAGTGATGGACTAAGTATATCAGAGATGAAGAGGATGGCATAAGATAGAGAAGGTTCAGATCCATTGTTCATTAGGGTCCCTGTAAGTTGCAGTCGACTTGATGGCACCTTAACAATTTTTTTGTCTCTTATATCCATGCTTGACTTGATATAATTCACTCTCCAAATTCCAATGACTTATCATAACTGGATCTAAATCCAAATACTATTATGACCTATAAGGCCTGAATAATTTGGTTTTGCCTGCTTCTCTGGCCACTTTTTTCAATCTCTGTTCCTCCTTCATTAAGTTTCAAATCACCACATTCTCTGCTCTTCAAACAACTCCAGTGCATTTCTGTTTCAAGGCTTGGCTGCTGTGATCTTGATTTACAACATTCTCCTCAGAAATCATTTTCTAGCTATGTCACATTTTCTGATATAAGAGAGTTGGTTGCTTAGTTGTTTGGGGGGGGGGAGGTATTCTTCAGAGTACTTAACCAATATTTAAAAATGCTGTATTATGGCCCTGCGTGCACGCGCCCGCCGCCGGCCGGTTCTTATTGCGGCCGCGGACGCCGCCGCGGCGGTTGGCTGTGATTCCCACGGCGGAGAGGAGACGGTGCTGGCGGCCGCGCTGCTGGGCGTCGACGGCGCCTCGGGGGCCGCTGGTGAGGTCTCAATCTTCGTGGAGAAGATGGACTCCAAGACATTGCTGACGTGTACCCTGAACCACAGCACCACACCCATCGAGGGCCACCGCTGGATGCAGGGCAACAAGGTGCTCATGGAGGATCAGTTGTCCAGCCTGAGCACCCAGTTTGAAGGGGACTCGGAGGACAGCGGCAAGTACGACTGCATCTTCCTCCCAGAGGACGCGGGCAGGGCCAGCATCTCCGTGGAGGGCCTCCCCAAAGTCTTCGCTGTGAAGAAGTCAAAACATGCCAACGAGGGCGAGACAGTCACCCTCAAGTGCAAGTCCAACTCCTTCCCACCCATCACCAGCTGGGTCTGGTTCAAGAAGACTGATGCAGAGGAGCAGCTCATCACCAACAGCTCCCAGAACAAGTTTCTGGTGACCTCCTGGGACATGCGGACCGAGCTGCACATCAGCAGCCTGGACCTGGAGAAGGACCCAGGCGTGTACGTGTGCAACGGCACCAGCTCCTCAGGCACCGACCAGGCCTTTATCACCCTGCGTGTGCGCAGCCGCCTGGCCGCACTCTGGCCGTTCCTGGGCATCGTGGCTGAGGTCCTCGTGCTGGTCACCATCATCTTCATCTACGAAAAGCGGCGGAAGCCGGAGGAGGTGTTGGATGATGAAGACATGGGCTCTACACCACTAAAAACATGCCTGGGAGAGCCGCCCGCCTCAGAGCCGGTCCTGTCCCAGTTCCTCCCCCTCCAGCCCAACTCGACTTTTCCCACCTTCAGAGTCACACTCAGTCAAGCCTCTCACGGGGTCTCCTTTTCTTTCATTTCTTGTGAACCCCAGGGAATCAGTGAGATCCAGGCTACCTGCCAGCCTCCCACAGCCTAAACTGCCCCTCCCACTGGTGCCCAGTCTGCTGTGCAGGCCCAGCCATGCGTGCTGCCCCGTCTGAAGCCCTAGCTGTCCACTCTGTGCTTGGTTGTTCCCAAGTGTCCATGGGTGCGGCCTGGGCTTGGGGCCTAGGTACCCCCACACTCCCAGGATCCTGACGTGCCAACTCAGGCCTCCCAGCCCGGGCTGCCTGGACACCTGGTGGGGGCCTGCCCCACCTGACCACAACCCAGCCCCTACCACCTTCACCCCACTCTCCAATAAAGACTTCCTCCACCTTTAAAAAAAATGCTGTATTATCTTGCTTACTTTTCTACCCCAAACCCACCAGAAAATAAATCTAGGACAGCAAGGATTTGTCTATCTTGTTCATGGATATACCCTAGCACCTAAATCAAAGATGTAAAAGATGCTCAATAAAGAAAAGCACAGATTAACAAAAACTGGAATGGAATTCTTGACATTTCCTCCTGACTACACAAATACTGATTCACAAAAAACAAACAAAACCAAAAAAACCCACCAAAAAGTAAACAGATACGCCGTCTTTAGATGTAATACAGATGCCCTGGTGGTACAGTGAATTAAGAGCTCAGGGGCTAACCAGAGGGCTGGTGATTCAAACCCACCAAAAAGAGGAAGTGGCAAGTTCTTATGATTTTACAGTCTCATAAACACTATAGGGCAGTTCTGCTCTGTGTTGCTCTGTGCTGCACTGCTCTGTGCTGCTCTGAAATAGACTTGATTCAAGGGGCAGTGGTTTGGTTCAGAGCTTTAGAAGTAACACTGTCACACCAAGCAGACCACCAAGTCTATCTTGCACCACCACTGGTCTGTTAATGTGCTGTACTCTCAGGGCTTGCATGCTGGTATGATGCTAGAAGTTATGCCACCAGTATTTCACATACCAGCAGGGTCACTAATGGTGGACAGGCTTCAGCAGAGCTTCCACACTAATAGGGACAGCTTTAGGGTCAGTCTTAAGGACAGCCCAACCTTAGGGAAAGGATTAGGGAAAGTCATAAGAACACAGATAATATATACATAATGTGTTATAAGGGAGTTCTGGTGGACTAATGGCAAGAAGCTGTGCTGCAATCCCAAAGGCATGTGGTTCGAGGCCACCAGCTACTCCGCAGGAGAATGATGGGCAATCTCCTCCTGTGCCATTAACTAACTGCCTCTGAAAACCTGCTGGAGGGTCAAATATGGTCGATGGCATCCATCAACAATGTGTTATATAACAGTATTAGATTTATTTTTTTAAACTTTGTTTGCTACCCTGCAATCTGAAAAGCACAGAGTTCTAATCAACTATCTCTGAAGACTTGCTGGAAGGTCAGCTATGGCTAAGTTCCAACTAACAGCACAACATTCAGTTTGAGCACATTTTCATGTATTTATTTGCTTTTGAACTTTCTTTCCTCTGATTAGCTTTTCAAAAACTTTCTCATTTTGATATGGGTTTCCTTGCCTTTTCTAGTCAGTTTAAAGAGTTCTTCATAAATTAACAGTATTCTTTCTCTTTTCTATTATATTTTTCCCAAGCCTAAGATTAAAATTTTGGTTCTGTATATTACTATCTCTTGGCATAAAAGCATTTTTAAATGTCACAGAATGAAATAATTTCTTACCTTTTAAAAATGTTTTTTATTAATTTTAATGAACGTTTAACAGAGACTTTGTATTTCCATTCATTCATTGTGGCACTTTTCTCCCTGCCTACCCCTCTCCCCAGTTCGCTCTTCTCTGAAAAGTAAAAGAAATCACAGAGGTGAGAAGTTTGAATCTACCAGATGCTTTGCTGAAGGAGGGACAATCTCCTCCTGTACCAGTCAGATCTGATTTGATGGTACACACACAAAAAAAATAATTAAAAAAGGAAGAGAAAAATTCTTTCATTGTTATACAATCCCTCCCCCTGAGTCTACTCCACTATGCAGTCTTCATTCTGGACTCCTGTCACTGACAATAATAGCTAATCATATATCACTTTTAAACAGTTCTTTCCCCCGCTATTTCAATGCAGTATACATAATTTATCTCATCTTTCTCACGTCTCCCCCTAAAGCCAATGTCAGTCTCGCTTTACAACAGTGGCATTATGCAGTATTTGTCTCTCTGTGACCAAGAGACTTCACTCAGCATAATGTCCTCCAGGGTCACCCATTTGGTATAATATTGCATGAGTTC